CTGGGACGACAAAATACAAGCTGTGTCAATTAGGAATGTGCTTAAAGATAAAGGATGTGGCATCGCTAATGACTTGACTTTGAATCAGAGACAGGAATTACTAAGATGCAGAACCGATGAACCAGACACACGGTTCTACTACAAAGGAGGGAAATTAGTGAGGGATACCAAAAAGGGGAGAGATACCACAAAAGATGAAGCTGCACAGAAAAGCATATCTGGAGGCACAGAGAGAGAGAGAGAGAGAGGGGGGGGGGGGGGGGGGGGGGTTAGACAACAGGATGGACGGGGACGTAAGGATGCGAGACGGGATACGCGCTCGAGGTCACAGAGACAGTAGGGAGACAGACTTAAGGGTGTGGCTAGAGCCTATACACTAATTTTACTGCTAATCAAAAGAACCCATCAAGTGAGAGAAGCGACAGTAATTATGAGTTCATTAACTTTCTCTTATGGAATGTCTCGGGCATCAAACATAAGTTAACAGATAATGACTTTGTCAACTATGTGAACACATTTGATATGATTGGTGTCACCGAAACATTGTTGGGTAATGTAGAGGATGTGAGGGTCACTTTCACAGACTTTACCCTTCATAGTAAAGATGCTGATAGGCTGTCTGAGGCAGGCAGGTTTACAACCCTTAATGGAAAAATTACTCTTAATGGTTAAAATATTTTACATAAAGGGTTGCGGGTTTAGCCTTGTTAAACCTCTTAATGTAAAAAATACTCTTGATGTAAAAATATAATATAAAGGGTTGAAGTGATAGATAATAATTTTTTTTACAATAAGGATTATCACTATGAAATAACACTTATCGAACTTTCATGAAACTTCGCAAATTTTATTGATCGTTACTTTGTCTAGATGTGCAAATTACTACTCATTTTTAGATTCCCTCTCTATAACGACCACCTGGTTGTTATATTCAGGCTCCATAAAAGAGTTTACGACCCCTAATCCTTTCAACCGATTTTTATCAAACTTAAAGTTTTACAAAGGTTATTTTTCGATACCCTGCAAGGTAACCTCGTTACTATCCTAATACCGTAACGACAATTGAAGGGCACAATTGAAGGAAGAATATATTCTATTACGAATAATTAGTCTTCACTAGTTGGCCACGGGCCTTTTTGTACAAACGAAATACAGTTTAGGTGCAAACAGTATAATAAACAAAACATTCCTTTTCATATTTAAAAAAAAGAAAAAAGTTTTGACATAATAACATATTATCAAAGTTTGATTATTTGTGTTCTTACAACATTGGCATAAAACAGGTACTTTTCTGTATTCATATTGATAAAAGTGTCTTGCGATGACAGTAGTGTATTAAACTTCAGAATTTTTGGAAAGATGTAAACACTTTGCCTTAGATGGCTATAACATGGAAAATTAACAAAAAGTGATATTCATTTTCGAAATGGTTAGGTTACAAACTTTAATTTTCTAATTTCACGAGGAATATTGAAATTTCGTCCACGTTCAATTCCTAAATTGTGAGAACGGAGCCGAAAACGAGTCAATGTGGTCCTGAATTTATTTACAGTTATACTACTCAAATAGTTCTCACATGAAATGTATGTTTTAAACTGTGCATGATAAGTCATTTGGGGGCTTTCACATAGATCACTATGCCAAACCTGAAAAAAAAAAAGTTTTAACTGCTGATGTAAAATATTTTAAAATGCGGTTTTATTACCACATGTTTGAAAGTACCAGACATCACTAAATCCTAATCTGAAAATAACAGTTTTAAGTGTCGTTACCCAATTTACGTGGCCTTGTTCATCGTACAACCGCAACATATTGTAACATTTTGGGGGGTAAACGAGATTACTGCTTATAAAGAGACAGCCAATATTTGACACATTTCAAAACAGCGAGCGACTGAAACGAACATCTGTCAGACTCGGTTCTATGGCACTGAACCCCCAAATTCCAGCCCCATATACAAGTATTGGTGTTATCTTTGTATCAAAACATTTGAAGTAAAAGTGAGACGAGTATGGGTTCAAGGAATGTATACTAATTAACAGGACAATGAACACCTTTCTTGCCTGAATTGCAATATTATTAAAGCATTCGACCTCAGTAATCTATTGCTAAAAAACGAGCCACGAAAACTGTATCGAGTAACTACTTCATACGCATTTCCATCACAATACCATTTTTTCACAACGTGATAAAGCTCCCCTATATTTGAAAAACAACTATTTTTTGTTTTACAACAGTCATCATGCAAGATATTCAACATCATTTGTACGTTGTTGACAGTATTGCCAAACACAATAAGGTCTTCCGCAAATAGAAGTAGAAAAATATAAATAAATTCCGGATGTAACTTAGCACCAAAACGACAACTTTGTTCCATTTTTGTAACCAATTCGTTTCTAAAAAACTGAAACAAAAAGAGATAAAGCATACACCCTTGCCTCACACCCACGAAGCAACAAATAAACCAGACACTCTGTTGTTTGAAGGAACACAAGCCTTTGTATTACTTTACATGGATTGTATCATTTTACCCATTTTAGCACTCAAACCATGTTTGTACGATGGCTTCCATAGATGCCGTCAAGACCAGCTGATTTATTATGTTTCTTAGCACTAATACTTTCAAAAGTTCGGATCTGGTGATTCTAATATGTCAATTGTCAGTTCTTGCACATAACCTTGACATGTCACTATGTCCTCGGCCTCATCAAGATTATCCTGAATACCCACTGGTTCAGAATTCAGCGACGAGAAATAATCCCCCAAGTCATGTATATGAATAGGGTTGGGTCGTTGCGGTCGTCCAGACACATGCTTTATGATGTCCCAGAAACGTTTAGTGTCTACCGCTGCTGCATTTTCTTGGGCACTCATTTCACAATGTGCAAACTGGTCCTTCTTGATTCCACACAGTTATCAGTATTCATTGCAAACTTTGTTATACTTAATAAGGTATGAGTTATCTTTCGTTTCTTCTGAACGCATTTAAATAATGGCACCGTTCGGGGAACAAGTCACTCGATGCTTTACCATAATCTATCACACTACACCCTAGATGCCCAATAGGGGTCACGGGTGGCCCAGTCGTCGCGATTCGCTGTGCAGAGTTGCGTCCCTTGGGCACGCCAGAAACCTATGATTGTGGGTTCGAATCCCGGTTCGCCCCGATTATGTTTCTAGGTTTGTCAGCACCATACCCGTGCTCGTGGGTTTCACCAAAGTGGTAAACGTCTGAGACCTGCATCACTTTGGGCTTTCCTCCCACATTAAGCTGACACGCTGTGATATAACTGGAATACTGTTAAAAGCAGCGTTAAACCCAACTCACTTACTCACTTAATGCCCATTAAATGTACAGTCACTGATTTTGATAGTCAGTTCCAAATCTTCCATTCACAATTTGTATGTTAAGAATTGAACACATTTCCAAAAGAGTTTTTCCAAAGTTATTTAGTAATTTATCACATGAATATCTTTCCATCTCAAATTGTGTAAAAAAATCAACTAAGTAATGCTTACTTTCAACATGATGAATAACATCGTTCTCCACACCGGTTTTACTGTTCATATACAATGGACCCGTGACGACCCGGGGTAGAATAGGTCTTCAGCAACCCATTCTTGCCGTAAACGGTGACTATGCTTGTCGTAAGAGGCAACTAACGGGATCGGGTGGTCAGACTCGCTGACTTGGTTGATGCATGTCATCGATGCTCATGATGTCGACCATTGGATTGTCTGGTCCAGATCTATAATTAGGAGATAAACATACTGTGTTTTCAATGTAGAGCTAGGTTATTTGCTGATTTAACCGTGCTAAATTGAATTTAGAACTGAACGCGCAGCGTGAGGTTTCAAATGTTAAATTTAGCGCGGTTAAATCTACAGGTAACCTAGCTCTACATTGAAAAAACAGTATATTTATCTCCATTCTACCATGACTAAATAACACGCGAACCCTTTGGTGTTAGCAAATATACGGAGTGAAGCGGCAAGGGTTGAGTTCAGTATTTTGAGTGGGTTATCGATCTGAATTACGGAATCACCGAACAAAATATGGCGCTGTATATACTCAAGCAGTTTGTTTACACCGTAATACTTCACTCGAACATAAAACCAGCATTGAAAGCATATAAGCACGGCAACTTGGTAAGCTAACATGAGGTGGGCATCCCTAAAGAAAACAAAGCAAGCTTTGCAAGGCTATTGCTCTAAATTCCAAGCTCTCTGTTGTCTCCAAAACGTAAATACATTCCCTTTGTAGATTTAAATCGTGTTTTCTGCATGAAATGTATTGCCACACATCCTTTAAATATTGTAGTAACCGCATCTGTGCATTTTATAACCTGTAATTGCAGATATAATTATTTACATATGGCTACCGACAATGACTGAAAATAGTACTATTCTATGAATATTAGCTTCCGCACTGATGCGGCCGTCAAACGAGCTGTTTCAATCAGAGGGTTTTATTGTGATTTAATAGCCTCTGATTGTAGTACTGGCTGAAACAACTTCATAACATGAATTCATCGAGATACCCTAAGAAATGTTACAATATGATGATGTTATACTATACGAATGGACAGATTAATTGGGTAACTGATGTGAAAATATTGTTATTTAATAGTGGTTTTGGAAATGTTTGGAATGATCAATTTGTACAATCTGAAAGTGTATTTACCAATTCATTTCTACAGAGGCTAAAAGATATATATCTGCAATCGTGGTAATTTTCGTTGACATTATCGAATAGTTTTACTGTACACTGAACAGTATCTGTATGTATATATAAAGAAATACCTAAATTCATTGGCAAGATTTCGATGTTCTTCCCGTGATTTATGCCTCGAGAGTAGGAAAACTCCAAGGTCAGAACTATTACCTAAAATATGTAACAGCCAAGATATAGAGGATGAATATCACTCTTTACTTGTATGTCCATTGTACTCCACTGTGAAAAAAAAATGTTCATCTGTACTGCTTTATTGATCCAAATATTGTGAAATTCCAACAATTGTTAAACAGTCTAGATTAATTAATAATACAAAACTTAGCCATGTTTACATTCCACGCACTATTATATAGAACCAAATCTGTAAATAAAACTTAAAATTATGTACAACATATCTGTCACATTTACTATAGGCCTGGGGCCTCTTAAGTGCTTGAATAAAGATAGATTGATTAAGGCGAAAACGATTTCACTCGTGGACTTAAAAACAATTTACAAAAATTCGGATGATATATCACATACTAAAACCGTGTAATAAATCCTCTGTACATTATACTTTTCACAGTACAGTACAATTATTGCAGTGAGAGTGTGCAGCTTCCTTGCAATGAGAGTCTCAGACAATCTCTTAAACACCACTGTGATCAGCGGTGATGGTGATTAATCATCCTTCACTGATATGGCAATGATAAAGCAAAATGAAATGTCCAGTGCATTACTGTTCCAGCAGTGCTATTATTTACATTTTTCAAAGGTGTGCTTACATCCATTTTATTTGAGTCTACCTAATGAGAATATAAATGGTAACGTTACTTTTCATAACTGTAGTCCACTTCTATTCAGATTCCACGTTTAGTTTCAAGTTTCAAGTCGTGTTTACAGGCAGCTGTCCATGATGTACATGGTCCAGGCATTATTTGCCACATAATTCTGAGGCACTTCCTTGTTGGTTAGCAGACAGTTAGCTTCAGAGGATGCTGTTGTGCTGTAGCTGAAGTCGATGCACGAATGATTTTGGTGACAAAGGATGCCACATTGCCCGGCTGTTACGGCTGATGTAGTCAAGGATGGGATGGACACCTTCCTGTTCGCTGTTGGCGTGTAGTAGGAACCTAGCGAGTAGAAATAAAAGGTTTGTGTTGGACAGGGAGAACAGATTTATCAAATGATCGAAAGAAGTATCACATTGATGAGAGTAGATCTGTCAACTGACATTGCAATGACATTATGATTACAAACCGAACTCTAAATGATACATTCATGTTATTATAAACCTGGACCGCCTACGTGGTCGAGCGGTAGAGTGTCCGCCCAGAAAGCGGAAGGTCCGGTGTTTGATCCCCGACCGCGTCATACCAATAGACGTCAAAATATGGTACTTGTCGTTACCCTGCTTTGAGTTCGGCATTAAGGGGCTAAAACAAGGACTGGTCGGCCCGGAGTCAGTATACTGTGTCTGAGTTGGGTATTCATATCATGTTAAACTGCGACATAGTATCTCAGTGAGCTAGCACTATAAAATCGACATTAGTCCGGACCAGTACAAGCAGACACAAACAGACGTGCATGCTAATAAGTGCAATAATCTTGGACGCGACGCTTAACATCATTCACCTCACCTTACTATAACCCCATGTTGCTCATTCACAGTTGTAAAAGAATAACGTTTGTTTATTAACGCCACAATCAACAATATTCCACCCATAGACCTGTAATAATTGAAAACAATCGAGAGGTAAATGGAGAATCCAGTGATGGATATCATGAGCAACGATCCAGGCCTTTGGCGCACGATATGAGCTCAATCACAGGGCCTGATCATACAATCATTAAATCACAAGGGTTGCATTGGCTCCATTCAAACCCAGAATCCCCACTAGAAACTTTGAAACAGGCATATTTGCAAATATTTATACAGTTAACTACGTTAATAACGAACACGCATATAACGAACTGACTGGTACAACAAACATATGTTTTGTCTCGGCCATTTGCTGCATATATGATTATAACGAACTCGTATTACGAACCAATATGAGTGGTCCCTTTGAGTTTGTTATAACCGTAGTTTGCATTATTAAATCATGTTATTGACCTATTGTCACGGACATTCAAGTGGAGGAGAGCTTGTGGTTAAGAATACCGAACTGTTCCATGGTGGCTGCTTATTGAATATTTTGCCGTAACAAAACTATATCACTCTCAACATGCTGTACTTAACAGACGTGATAAGTGGATATGGTAAAGAACTCAAAAGTTTCGTTATGGCATCTGGTCAAGTGGAATCTTGTAAACGTATGTGCATTGAGGGGGGCAACATCGGTTATGGAACTGTCACTTCAAGAACACTGAGTTACACTCTCCATCCACATGCAGTATACTCACGGTATCGCTTTGTAGCCCCGATTCCTTGAACATCAACATGGCCTATATTCAGCCTCACGTTGCTTGAAGAACGCCTTGTGACACGGACAAAGCGGATGGGGAATGTGGCATTGCAGGTGAAGGTGAACATCTGCTTCCTGGCGACAGTGCTGGACACATTCCCACACCACTCCACCTGGACATCAGGGCAGAGGCTGATATCTTTGTCCATAACTTCGACATAAGCATTTCTCATGTGTTTAGCTGCAATATTCAAAGGGCACAACATTCACTTGCATAAAACGCTAACGTTAAGCTTTTGAGCCTGTGGCTGACATTATGTTGCATGTACCTTCCTATTGAAATCATATTGCCGCAATATTCAAATACATCCCAACATTGCACTGTAGATAAGGTCATATATAAAAATATAAAACGTCAATGCCAGTACATAACCAGAGCATATCCGCGGGAACCAATTCATGGGGTCAAAAGGCAAAGTGGCGGTGAAATTATACGATGGCATTTGCAGGTTTGGGTTCATTTTCTGAGTGTGTGTCTGTGGGGGGGGGGGGGGTGGGGTGGGGTGGGTGGGGGGGGGGGAGAGAGAGAAGGGAAAAGGGTGGGTGGGGGTAGAAGGGAAAGGGGTGGGTGGGGGTAGGTTTTTGTCTCAGAACTTACAGAAAAAAACACATGTTCACTGTAAATGTTGGTTGTCATAACATGTCTGTGTAAAACATTTGTTCGGCTACTTTCAGAGAAGAAATATGTATGTTTTGTAACGATGGCCGTAATAATATTGTGTCTCTGACAAACATCTCAGCCCGTCACCAACAATAATAAATGGTCTGCCCCTGTGTATGTGTGTGGTGTGTATGTGAGTGGTGCGTCCATGTGTGTGGTACTGGTGCGCGATTGGGACGTTTTTACAAAACAAATAATTAGTAACAGTATGTTCTGGTGAACAATATTTTTAACTCAGAACTTACAAATATGTTCACTGAAAATGTTGAAAAAGTGCTTTGAACATATGTTCGATTAATTGCAGAGAATTAATATGTAGGTTTAGAACAGTGACTGAAAAAGTATTTTATTGAGAGACATACCAGCCAACTCTCAAGAATATTAACTAGTCAGTCCCATACTCCATCGATTGTCTGCTGCTGTGAGGGTGCAGATACCATTTATCTTACAACTCGTTGTCTCAAAGCGTATCTAACGATCTGGATAATCTTTGAAACAACTTGTTGTAACATAAATGACATCTGACAGACACTCCTGTATTAATCTCTAATATTATACAAAGTATGGTATTGTTGTGTTTGAGTTCATTTTACTGAGAAACGGTATTGCTGAACAAAACATAAAATGTAACAGTCACAAGAGAGATATACGATACACACATCAAAAAACAATGTTCGTATTTGGACAAACTCGTCCTTTTAACTTACCGTACCCGCTGTCCGATGCTGTAAGGGTGATGTTGCTGATACTGAAGTAGCCCCTCAGGTCCACCTCCCATCAGGATGGGTTGCCATAGCGTGTTAACGACCCTGCTCTCCGGTAGACTGGATTGATGGCCCGGCTTGCAGGATACACAGTAGTACTGTGCTTGGCAAGTTTGCCAAAAGCAATGCTTTCACCTACAATGAAACGTAGAGACTAACACTACTGGCATGAAAATTAAGATGAGCATGAAATCATGTTAAAATCCAGTTTACCAAGATTGCAAGACAACACCCTTTGTTCCAGCCTATTCAACATTTTTCACAGAGGGATCCATTCCTAATATCATTTTCGTTCAAACAACCTAATGTCGGCTTGTCACTTTGGTTGTTCCTGCTTGCCAATTTACATTTCATATCATGTAATGCAAATGATCTGTGAATTTGCATGTCAATTCTAATGGTAAATGGTCTTTGAATTAACATGTCAATTCTAATTGTAATTGATCTGTAGACAATCTCCATTATTTACCATGTCAGTGGGATAAATTAAGCATTCACACTACAGCATGGATGACCACAAGAGGAATATCCCCCTTCTGCGTCTCCATACATCTGCTGTGAACAATATATACCTGAAATTTATAACACTTGTCTGACAATGACTGACCACACCTGTTAACAATACTGTCATGGACCACCATGACAAGATGTCTTTTCTTCTTCGATAAGTGGAATGTTGTGTTTACCAATATCATCAACGTCAGTTAGATGGTTCAGGTCTCATATACGTACGTTCTCATCACCAGGAGGCACTGTACACGAATCACTAATTTTTGAAAGGGTTTCTAATGAAAGCTGATCAAGCAGTTCAATCTTACTTTTAGAGTTGCTATTTTTATAGTATGGCGAACCAGACGTTGGGATATAAAGTACATATCAAATTTATGTTTCTATGAACAGAAAACAACTGTTTGCAGGGTAAATTTCTCAGGTTACAAACTGAATAGTGGAACCTATGCAAAAGCCGCTTGAGAGTCGACTATACTCGGATAATTTCATTATCGCGGGACTGTAGAAAACATCATAACCATCCTACCAGTTTATGTATCACATATCATATTCAAATGTATATAAGACACGATAAGTCACTGAAAGTAAGTAACTTCTTGACTCAACCCATACACGTTCCAACACAAGACAGAACGTTTCTGCACTCACAACAGCACTCACAAATCTGATAGTGTTACCGGTGTCTGTTTTATGACATCCATGTGATATATTATCCGTACCTGTTGGCTATTCAACGATGCTCCATTTCAGCTTGAGTGATGTTGGAAACACTGCTTCATTAACGTTGGGGTGTTTCCTGTGGAGTCCGCGAGTTACTATTTGTAATTTCACGACGTTTGGACACAAACCTACCGTTCTGAAATTAGCCAAAATGGCCGATTTCTTTAAGGGCAATTAGTTGTTGACGTTGACGTGTGGTCACGTCGCGTGAGATTCCATGTATACTTTCCTTATGCACGGGTCAAGCTGGACGTTAAACGACACCTTCAATTTGATCGGAAGCAGCCTCAAAATCAGTATACAGAATGTCATAATTGTGTTTAAAGTCGTTCATATTAGATTTGATTACTGTTACCGTTTCCTCGCCTTGACCACATTTAGAGCTATTTGCATGTACTTCACTATTTAAGTGTGGACTTCAACGAGTGCAGTTCAATGAAGGGTAACCTTATCTTCACAAATATCCCGGAAAACAAGCCTAAACCAACATTGGAACACTGTGAAATAGTCCTCAAAGACTGTATAAAAGAACACTTGAAATGGAGTGTGAGTTGAAAACCCCAAGACAATTTCTGTTCTGCTTACATTTACTGGTCAGTCTTTACCAGATCATGTTGTAATTTTCATTCAAACATTTCCTATCCGGGTGTATGATCCTCCTGCTCTGGGATGCTTCAAGTGTCAGTCCTTTGGGCACTCTGCTAAGTGTAGGAGCCTCATCATGTGTGCACTAAATGTGGAGGGAAGCACACATATGAGGAGTGCAATGAAAGTTCTCTGAAATGTAAGAACTGTGGTGGTGTTCACTCTGCGGCATACAAAGGTTGTATTAAATACCAGGAAGCTGTCCAGATCCAGAAAGTCAGAGTTGAGGATTAATTAGCTGTTCGAAAGGTGCGTGGAGATTTTGATATTGCACATGATCAGGTTCCAAAAATCCATAAACAACCCCCTGCAGCTAAACCACTGTCTCCAGTTGTTCTTATTTCTGACGTTGTATTTCCTCCTGTCATGGTGACTGCTCGTACTCAGACTGAAACTCTGGAAGTTGAATGTTAGACTGATCCTATTGCCTGAATCCTCTTACAAACCTCTATTCAACAATGTCTCTCCCGTTGATTTTCTTGGTAATTTGTATAGTTGATTAACTTTGTTATTTGTATAGTTGCCAATCTTGGACCTACTCGTGCATTCAAGTCTGATGGTCTCCAGACGATAGGATCACCTGCCCAGTTCTCTTTGGGTTGAACTTGTCCCCTGATGATCTGACGAGCATGGTCAAGGCACAACCATGGAAGTCTTAATCCTTCTTATGGCTCTCTTGATCCTTCAGTGGAGTGCTAGATCAATAAATGCTAATGGTCCAGGATTCAGGTTTTTTTATTAACAGTCTTGCCCCAATGCCAGATGTTAAATGTCATCAGGAGACGTTCTTGAATCCTAAACAACAATTCCGTTGGCAAGATGATGTCTGCCTACGTAAAGATCGTCAGGTTGGTTTTAGAGGTGGTTGTTCTGTCCTCATAAAGGAATCTTTGTCATTTAGTGAACTAAGGATACCACCATCCCAATTAGAAGCGAATGCAGTAAATATTCATTTGAAAGATCAGTCTCCATTTTTAATGTCTATAATAATGCTCTTGCTACTTATGATGACTATATGTCTCTTTTGAACAGGTCAGACAATCTTACAGTAGTGCGTGGTGATTTTAATAGTCATAGTCCATTGTGGGGAGCTGGTAAGTTGGATGCTGGAGGTAAAGCCATTGAGACACTGCTTCATGAAAAAGAATCTTTTCCTTCTTAATGATGGTTCTATGACCTGGTACGACTTGGCTTCTGCTTCATTTTCGGCCCTGGATTTGACCATTATCAATCCACAACTGGCTCCACATTGTGATTGGGAAGTGTGTTTGCAGGATTCTTTTGGCAGTGATCATAATCCTGCGTTTACTAACCTTCAATTTGACCCAATCACTGAACTGAGTGGTACACCTCAGCGGTGGATTTTCTCTAAAGCTGACTGGTCTGCATTTACTGCTTTCTGCTCTGACACAATCACGCCTGCTATAAACTCTATTGACATAGAGTAGTTTCACAAATGCTTTGTTTCTAACATTACTGATGCTGCCAATAGATTCATAGGGAGAAGTTCTGGTTAACGTCCACTTAAACCACCTGTTTGTTGGTGGGCGGATACATGTCACATGATGCCAGGAAGAAGGCAAAGAAAATTGTTGAAAGATCGGCTTTACCGTCTGATTTATTCGCCTATAGGCATTCCTTAAACTGTTACTGAAGCAAAACGTTTGTCTAGTCTAATTACACCAGTATGGAGGAAAGTGAAAAAGATTTCTGGTAGTTCAAGTTCCAATCGTGCTATTCCATCTATTGGTAAAGTAATGCCTGCAACAACAAGTATTGACAAGAGTAATGCACTTGCTGTAGTACAGTTAACTTTAACTCAGACTTTCTACTGTATAACGAAACACTTGAATCAGAATTCTCGGACATCTTACATTGTCCAACATATCACATCGCTGATTACAACTCATTGTTTAGTTTCAAGGAATTAAAGAATGCCATTTCTGGACGAACACATACTCCCCAGGTGATGATTCTTTATGCTATGATAAGTGTAAACATCTTCCCCTTATCAGCCTTGAAACCATGCTTTTCCTCTTTAGTAATATTTGGTTTGAAGGCAAACTTCCCATTTCTTGGAGAAAAGCAATAGTAGTTCCAATTCCGAGGCCTGGTAAAGATCCTACTGAAGCCACATCCTACAGACCTATTGCTCTTACCTCTAACATGTGTAAAACAATGGAGATAATGGTAAATAACCGTCTGGTGTACATCATGGAAAAGAACAATCTGTTTTCAGACGTTCAATCAGGCTTTAGGAAAAAAAGATTATTTGGTGCGACTTGAAACTGAAATTAAAAAGGCATTAGGTAGCACTGAATATTGAGTTTGTGGAACTTCACTGTCAGATATTTATACATTATACAAGGAAGTGTGATCAGCCCAACATTATTTAATGTTATGGTAAATGATTTGTTTGAGAATATCAATATCCTGGTTGAAACATCACATTTTGCAGATGATGGAGCGTTGTGGAAAAGGTCTGGTAATTTTTATACTGTCTTCAAAGGCGTTCAACAATCACTCTATCTTGTACAGAATTGGTGTGTACATTGGGGTTTTAAGATTTCAGTTTCTAAATCTTCTGCAGTCCTTTTTAATCGGAAGAAGATTCCTCATCATTCAAAGTTAGTCTTGTGTGGTTCTGATTTGGAGTTTATGGACAAAGTCAACTTTTTAGGTCTCTGGTTTGATAGGAGGCATACCTCGAAACCACACACAGACTATCTGATTCAGAAATGCATTAAAGTCCTGAACCTTCTGAGAAGTATTTCCAGTATTTCCAAATGGGATGCAGACAGGAACAGGAAGTGTTTATTTATGTTATAAAGAGCCCTAATTAGATCTCGACTGGATTTAGGTTGTCTAGACTATGGATCTGCATGTCCCACACAAAAAGTAAGACTTGATGTTGTACAGTCGAAAGCCCTAAGATTATGTTTTGGAGCGTTCAGGACCACCTCGAGGCTTTACAAGTTGATTCAGGTGAAATGCCTAGATTTCAGACGTGATCTGTTAGACGTTAGGTATATGTTAAAATTGAAATCTGTCGGGGATAACCACTCAACGTCAACTGTGTTGAATGATTATGTTGAATATTTTCATGACTCTTGGAAAAATGGTATGGGGCCTTATGGGATGCGATCTGAGAGAACGGCTTTCAATCATACTGTGCGTGATGTTGCAATAGATGACACTACAGGTCTGCCTGAAAAGCCGCCATGGCTGCTTGAACTGCCATCAGTTTATCTTGATGTCCT